TGTATTGTTCTATGTTGTAATTTTCCAGAACATGGAGAAAAAGACAATGTGGAATTTCCCCAAACCTACTCAAATAAGACAGTCCAATCTAAACAATTTAATCTATATAAAAGTTAATGATATTAAAATATCTAAAATGAATTTATACTAAAATTCAAATTTCTCTTTCTGAAATAATAAAATTTGCTACTCCTGTTTCTATCCCATTTCCAAAATCAAATAACACAATATATTGTACATGAAACTTGGCATTTTACAGAATAAATGATTGTTCTATAGATTATGGATGGGTATGCTACCATGGTTTTAACAGCCTGATTGTATAACCTGCCTTATACCAAATCCCATGTGCGTATCAAATAATGAAATGAACTCCTTGCCTGGTGAAAAACAAAGATTCTCTATTATTGATACAGAGAAGTTGTTTTAAATTTTAAAGTTAAAATAAGGAAGTTCTTTGAATATTGCCTAACTCATTATTGTGGGGGAAAAGTTAGAAATATTTCCGAACACCTCAGTTTGCATTTCTATTAAACAGGCTTTTTCTTATCAAAGTGCAATGGTTATTTGTTAAGATAAACATTAATGCAAATATTAGCTTATAATTTTGACAAGAAAAAGGAATTCTATTATATATTACCTGATTCGTGATCAGATAGATGTTTGCTTATGAGAAATCAAACTGTAAAATCTTACAGTAAGCTGTGTGCAGGGCACCAGATCTACAATGTAAAGTATTTTAATATTTTTAATTAAATTTTTTGAAGGGTCACTGATTTGCAATCTTTGTTAGTGTCTTGAAAGCACAGACTCCCCCACTTCAGATGTAGTCACTGCAGTGCACCCATACCAGAGCACCCACAGTCCTTCACCGTAGTCCATTGTGCTCTCGCCCCCGGGCCCCCAGCCCTGCTCTGGGCAGGCCACTCCTGAGCCTGGTCCCCCTACCGGCCTCCTCAGGATAGCTTAGCTTCATGGTCAGACTTCAGTGGTTGGTTTTTAAAGTTAATCTTTGACTCTTTAAAAAGCATTTTAACCATTATTATGCAAGATTCTTAGTAATAATGGCTAAATGAATACACCCTACCAAAAGTTTTTATTAACCTACATAGATGATAAAAAGTCTAGTGAACCTTATTTCTAGTAGAATATTTTTAAGATTTATTTTATCTGTTTATGCATACAAGAGCTGGGGCTCAGGCCAGAGGTGCAGCAGTGTGAGAGGATTCCCCAGAGACCGTGGGGAGCAGAACAAGCAGATCTACTGAAATACACTGCTGAGGGAAGCAGAGGGCAAGAGAGGAGACCCACCACGTGGGTCAACTCCCTGGCTGGGGATTGAACTCCTGGTCCAGTGGCTGCTGAAAGCTTGATAGTGCTGAGACTCAACCCCTTGTGCCACCAGGGAGGTCCCCCACTAGATATTGATAATATAAAACAATCTGTTTTCATTTTTAATTTAGTTCACCCACATCTGATGAAAACTTCTCATCGCAAAATCAGTAACAAAGTGAAAATTCTCAGCAAACAAATTAATGCTGATTTTATTTTACTTTATATTGTTCTCTAGCTTTTATAAAATATCTATGGGAGCAGGTTGGTTTTAGTTCAGGCTTTGCAGAGCTCTGTCACCTGCTCATCCGAGTTCTCCAGAATGGAGCAACATAGAGTGTTGCATTGGTAGAGACCAGAAGTGCGAAACAATCATGGCATTTTTATAGAAGTGTTAAATCTCAAAGAATCTTGGAGGTCACCTGGCCAGTCTCTACATTTCACAAGATGCAACCCTGAGGTACCTTGCCCATTTGTTGTGGAGTCAGGCTTGATCTCTTCCTTTTAAGTTCATGACTCTTTTCACCTTGCTAAAAAATAGTAAGAGCATCAGGAAACACAGGAGATGAAGGAGGGAACAAAGTACCTTCCAGACCAGCTGAGAAGCCCCGCCATTTTATACCACACTCAACTCTCCAAGGTTGCCATCTTGTGAGAGACTCAAACTTGACCAAATGCTTAGAAATTACTAGAGTGTTAATCATATGTTTAAATATAGTTTTGTCGCTGTGTAGCCACATTTTCCCCCTGTTTTTTTCTTTTTTAAAGATTGATTTATGCATACAGTACTGGGGTATGGCCAGAGGTACAAGAGTGAGAGGCTTCACCAGAGACAGAGTGGGGAGCAGAACAGGCAGATGGACTGAAATGCACTGCTGAGGGGAGCAGCAGGTGAGACAGAGAGGGCTGCCACACCATGTGGGTCGCGTCGCTGGCCGGGGATCCAACTTGTGTTGCAGTGGCTGCGGTAGCTTCTTAGTGCTGTGCTTTAACCTGTCGCATCACCAGAGAGGGCCCCGGTAGCCACATTTCCCAAAGTGAAGTTTACAGATCCGCACAGTATGCTTTTCACTTTTATCATATACATTTTCCATGTGCCTTCTTTGGGTCAGTCAGTGACACAAAGTCACTACTTCATTTAATTTTCCTAAGTAACACCATAAATTAAGTACGATGTTTCTCCTACATTTTAAAGACAATGAAACAAAAGTTTAGACAGGTTAGTAATTTATCCAAGGTGCAGAGCTAAGATTTGATCCTAGCTGTTTGATATCAGAACCTAACCTCTAAAGCTCTATTGCTGTGTTCTGATTCTGGGAAAGGAATGGACCTATGCAAAATAAAAGATTTCATATATATACATATGTATGCATTTCTATACATACATCTGAAGCCTGAAAATATTTACGTATTATTTTCTACATGATGTGTTCTTTTCCTTTTCCTTGCCATAGTAATTGCCATGATGACAAAATCCAAACTAGTCAGTCATTTTCAATTCTAATATTGTTTTTGCTATGAATTGTTTTTTAAGGTATATACATTAAATATATACATATATATAGCTAAAAATGAAATTCAAACTGTGCCAAAAAGTACAGAATGAAGTCTTCTCCCTTCTCATTTCCACACCCAGAGTCAGCTTCTCAGTTTTCCATTTTTGATTGCTGAGTAGTATTCCATTGTGTATAAGTGAGTATAAATACAAGCTGAGAAAGACTTTTACATAGAAGGCTCAAGGACAGCCTGGAAGAAGGAGATTTTGATTGAAACAGAGAGGTGAAAATGAAGGCGCCTGCCAGCCATGCAACAGCTTGAAAGGAGCATCCAGGCCAAGCAGACAGCAGATACTTGATTTTTTCAGTTCACTTCAGCCTTGACACACTGTTGAACTCAAAATACACTTAAATGAAAATGTATTCACATTGCTTTGCCAAGTATTAAAACACTAAGTATTAAGGTCAACTATTTCCTGCTCAATTACTACTACTAAAAATAATATATAGAGCAACCGTTGCTATGATTACGTTCTTTACCTATTTTTTTCTAAATTTTCTAAAATGTATTATAAGTGATGTCTTCTATTTGGTATTGATTGGGACAATACAATAGATTCCTTCAACAAATATTTGTTGAGTGCTTACTCTGTATAAGATCCTGTGCTCTGGTAATAAAATGGGCCTCCCTCTAGGAAGCTGTCCATAGCCACTACAGCCTGAGTTTGATCCCTAGCCAGGGAGGTGACCCACATGGTGCGGCAGACTCATCTGTCTCACCTGCTGCTCCTCTCAGCAGTGTATGGTGTTTTTGTTTTGTTTTTTAATTTTTTTAAAGATTTATTTATTTATGGAAACAGAAGTGGAGTACAGGCCAGAGATGCAGGGGTGGTGAGAGAATTCACCAGAGACAAAGTGGGGAGTAGAACAGGCAGATCGGTGAAATACACTGCTGAGGGGAGCAGCAGGCAAGACAGGAGAGGTCTGCTGTGCCATGTGGGTCATCCTCTGGGCTTGAACTCACACTGAAGCAACTGCAGCTAGCTTGCAGTGCTGAATCCTAACCCATTGTGCCACCAGGGAGGGCACAGCAGTGTATTTCTGTGGATCTGCCTGCTCTGCTCCCCACTCTATCTCTGGTGAATCCTCTCAACCCTACCCCCACACCTCTGGCCTGCACCCCAGCTCTTATATGCATAGATAAATAATTAAAACAGGGAAAGTTTAGGTCCCTCCCTGGTGGTGCAGCAGGTTAAAGCACAGCACTAAGAAACTAAAGCCACTTCAGCATGAGTTCAATCCCCCGCCCTGGAGGTGACCCACATGGTACAGCAGACCTCTCCTGACCCACCTGCTGCTCTCCTCAGCAGTGTTCATCGATCTGCCTGTTCTGCTCCCCACTCTGTCTCTGGTGGGTCCTCTCACTCCTCACACCTCTAGCCTATACCCCAGTTCTGTATTTATGTATAAATAAATAAATCTTTAAAAAAAGAAAAAAGGAAAGTTTATTAGAAATAAATACTGGATTGCGATTGTATTGGGCTCCTCAGTCCCTCCCTTTTCCTACCAGGGAAGCGATTGCATGCTTAATATATTGCCACTCCATGGGGCAGTCTATTAAAGAAGTGATTTCCACTAATTGAAAATGACTGGGTCCCTCCTTAGATGTATATTTTATTATGGGAATTTCTTCTTAATATTTCTTAGTGCTATCCATGAACATAATGTTTCAGACAGTTCAATATGAAACAAAGTGAATTATTGTTTGAATAAATAAAAAATTGTAATTATTTTTAACACAGACATAGGCAAATCTCCTCAAGGTTATTGAACATTCATCAAAATTTCTTGCCCTCTCCAAAAAAACCTCACATTTAATTGTGTCTGATATTTTAAATTCTCCCTGTCCTGTCAGAATTTCTAAAAAAACAATCTAAATTTTTAATGAGTTCTTTTCGCCTTTCAAAATATCTAACAATCTTTTAAGCAATAAGGAAGGAAATACCAAACTGGCAAAATGTAGGATGTGAAAACGGAGCTATGGGCATGAGAAAAGGCTCCTATTATGTTAGCAAGTTTCGAGTCCTTTACAAAAAGAAGAACTGGCTTAGTACCAGCTTTGCTTAGTCATGTCATTTTTTTTTTAAGTTATTTTGCAGTTATATATTGGCTTTCGCTGGCATCAACGTGGGAATCAAAGTCATGTGAGTCTTGCACCATTTGTTTCGGATCTTCTCCTCTTTGGCACCTATTAGGGTTTCCGGATGTTATAAAACTCCTAACAAACACCACCAGTCCTGTCAGCAAAAATAGAGAACACCCCTCATTCTTCTCAGGTGTGAACACCATGTTTCTCCTCCCAGACCAGGTAAGAGTTCTACTCCACTTCATTACGGTACTTGGAGTGAGGTTGTGAACCTAGTTGGTAGTAACCTGACAGGTCCTGTTTCACCCTTGATAACACTGTGAAATCAAGTTGTTCCTTCATCTTTCACTTTGGATGATTTGTGGGCCTGGCAGTTAGAATCTTCCTAGAACAACATCCTGGTCCAGTGATGTTGACTACAACATCCAAGTTTGTATTCTCTGGTCAAGTCCCCCAAGCTCCAGATCTTTCCAAGCTCTTTCCCTTTTTACCCTTCAGCGACTTCCAGCTACCAAAGACATTGGTGCCATTACTCAAGTGACGGTGTCATTTTCATTCAATGCTTTCACTGTCATTAAAAGGTTTTCTGAAGAGTTATGAATAATTGGGCCATCCCTGGTGGCACAGTGGGTTGAAGCACAGCACTATGAAGCTCTCTGCAGCCACTGCAGAATGAGTTTGATCCCCAGCCAGGGAGGCAACCCACATGGCACAGCAGACCTCTTCTGACTCACCTGCTGCTCCCCTCAGCAGTGTATTTCAATACATCTGCCTGTTTTGCTCCCCGGTCTGTCTCTGGTGAATCCTCTTACCCCCCCCATACCTCTGACCTGTTCCTCAGTTTTTATATGCACAAATAAATAATTTTTTTTTTAAAAAAAGGTATGAATAATGGGCATTTCAGGTAGCTAGAGGAGAAGGTATCCCCAACACTGCTCTTACACCACCCTCACCCCCATGTTCTTCAGGTGCTTTTCAAATTCTAACCCAGAGAGAGCCTCTGGCTAGTGGATATAAATCTCCTGCATATCTTACTCAGTGGAAATGCTTACTCATAGTTCACAAAGTTCCCCTGAAGATGATTAGTAAGCATTATTCCTACATTTCAGCAAAAACATTCTCGGGGTCTGCTTAGTGCCACTGGGTTTAAATTAGTGGTGTGGAACGAAGTCACACTGACTTACCAGCCAACCAAGGTTTCTGCTAAATTAGTTTTGTTTGTTTGTTTGTTTGTTTGTTTGTTTGTTTGAAAAGTGCTCACACAAATAAGAAAAAACAAGAAATTCACAATAAAATCCAGAGTATTAGAACTAAAAGGGACACTCAGGATCAGTTAGACCAATGTACTCATTTTACAGAGAAATAAACTGTACCAAAGATCTCCCAGCTGGCGGGAGACCCCATTTCTCAGTGGTAGCTTTTACCATTGCATGATCATATGTGTTCTTCAGAGCATCATACAAGTTACGCTTTTGTACCTGCTTCTGTCATTATTTGACTAAAGCTGGCTCTTTCCATCCCTTCATAGTAGCATGAAGGTAGTCTGGTTTTGCTGTTCACTTGCCGGAATATCAGGTATGGTGTTGTGCTCAGTTGGATGAGTATCAGTAAACACAGAGTTAATTATAGGTAAACTTAGAATTAACTGTCTACTTAGTCTTTTGAATAACTGTCAAGTCACCATTCACACATGATATGGATATCTAGCTTCCTTAAATTGGGCAAGGAAAAATCTACTCTAGTAAACTGTAAGCTTTGAAATTTCAGTGTCTTAAAATTCGAAAGTGGAGCCTCCTTGGTGGGGTTGGGGTTAAAGTCTTATTAGCACTATCAAGCTATGACCAGCCACTGTGGCATGAGTTGGGTCCCTGGCCAGGCAGCTGACCCACCTGTCTCGCCCGTTGCCCCCCTCAGCAGTGTATTTCAATAGATATGCCTGTTCTGCTCCCCGCTTTGTCTCTCGTGAATCCTCTCACATCCCCACCCCTCATCTCTGGCTTGTACCCCGGTTCATATAGGCATAAATAAATAAATCTTTTTAAAATGGTACCCTAAATTATACAGCTATGTAAATGATTAGTAAATTAATAAAACTTCAGGAAAAAAACACTGTGTCAGTGGGTGCAAACCATTTATGCCCATTGGTTTGAGATGATTGTGAAAACCTTGAGCTGCCTTTTCTTTTTTTTTTTTTTTAAAGATTTATTTATTTATTTGTACAGAACTGGGGTACAGGCCAGAAATGCGGAGGGTGAGAGGAGTCACCAGAGACAGAGCGGGGAGCAGAACAGGCAGATCGACGAAATACACTGCTGAGGGGAGCAGCGGGTGGGTCAGGAGAGGTCTGCATCGCCATGTGGTCACCTCCGGGGCAGGCGGGGATCGAACTCATGCGGAATGGCCTCAGTTTCCCAGTGCTGTGCTTTAACCCGCTGCGCCACCAGGGAGGGCCTGAGCTGCCTTTTCAATGTCCCTTTTCCTCTGTGACTTTTTCCTGACTTCATTGTGGCCTTCATCCCACAGCTAAACACAACTAAGAATTTCCCATGTCTATTTTTCATGCACAACTACCTTGACTGTTTCCTCATTCACCTTCCCTAGGGGCTAACAGAACCCAAAGGACAGAAGTGAGTCCTGTTAGCATTTGCATGTATTCATGGATGGTGCTCAGTCAATGTCTGTGAGTTATACTGAATTTTGATTTCCTGGTTTTGAATGGGAGGGTCAGGACTAGTTTGCTTCTGTATAATATTTCCATAAAGGTGAGGCTTTTCCTTAGGTAAGTAATGCTATGTGATCTTGGACAATTTATTTAACCCCTCTGTGCCATGTAATAAATAATGTCACTGATATTGTCATTATTTTTTATATTAGACATAGGGAAAGTTGGATCTGGTCAAAGAAAGGGTTGGGATTTCAACCCAAGGAGTCTGTTTCAAAGTCTTAGTCCCAACACAAGAGCTTGTGATGAGCAGCTGCTGTTAGCTCTTAACCATTCTTCTTGATTACTTATATTGAGAAAAGAAATGGCAAAGATTAATGAGAAGAAATATAAGAAGCTGTATAATATACCTGGAGGTATAGGGGGTTAAGTCTCAGCACTATCCACCAAGCTATCACCAGCCACAGTGACATAAATTCAACTCCAGCCAGAAAGCTGACCCACATGGCACAGCAGACCCCTCCTGTCTCTCCCTGCTCCCCTCAGCAGCGCATTTCAGTAGATCTGCCAGTTCTGCTCCCCATTCTGTGTCTGGTGAGTCTTCTCAACCCCCTGCACCTCTGGCCTGTACCCCAGTTCAGTAAATCTTTAAAAAATATATATGTAACTGAGTATTCCTCACAAAGTGAGTACAACTAGTTAGCACAAATGCAAGATCAATAACGTGATAACAGAATTCATAACAAAGCTATTATTAGAAATTTCAACTTTAGCTCTTGATTTTATTGTATTTATTTTCATCTTTTTCAGTGTAAAAACATGGAGGGAGGTATAATTTCTTTATATTATTCTGTGTAAGGAGGGCAAAAATAAAATTCAGAGGACAGTTTTCATTTTCTACCCACTATCACATTTTCATGAAGAAAACTGAGTATCTACCAAAGTAAAAATGGGAATTGTTAGGACAGAACAACTAAAAACAAAACAAAAACTTCTTTGAAGCTGCTCTCTCTTCTACTTTTTTAAAATCCTGGGTACATACTTATTTTCATGCTGAGTTAGGCATGGCATTTATAATTAATTTAAATATGTTCCTAGGTTTCCAATAAGCAAATTGATGAAACTTGACAAATGTATACAGTTATGTGACCATTGCCACAGTTATGATATAAAATGTTCTCATATTCCTAAAATAAGTTTCCTTGTGCTCCTTTATAGCCAGTTCCTTCTCCTAAACTATAGAAAAATAAGACCTGCATTCAGACACTATGAATTTACCTTTTTTTTAAATTTCATATAAAACCTTACTGTACATAGTCTTTCTTTCTGGAGTTTTCACTTAGCTTAATGCTTTTGAGATACATCCATGTTTAGTGGGTGTGTGTCAAGCTTGTTCCTTATTCTCTTCAGTAAAATCCAACTGCATGGTCATATATACAATGTAAGTTGAGGGGCATATGGATTGTTTCCTCCTTGGAAGTCTCATGAATAGAGCTGCTGTGTCACTTTAATACATGTCTTTGTGTGGACATGTTTTCATTTCTCTTGGGTAAATAACTATGTTTAAAGAAATGAATGACAGGGTTATCTAGCAGGCTCAATTTTATAAGAAACTAACTATTTTACATTTCCACTAGTGTATGCATGAATTCCAGTTGCTCATAACCTTACTATCACTGGTAAATTACCAGTCTTTTAAATTATAGTCAGTTTAGGGCCTCCCTGATGGCTCAAGGGTTAAAAGCAGCACTATCAAGCTATCAACAGCCACAAGTTCCATCCCCAGCCAGCCAGGGAGCTGACCCACATGGCACAGAAGTCCCCTCCTATCATGCCCAACTGCTCCCCTCAGCAGTGTATTTTAGTTGACCTGCTTGTTCTCCCCTCTTTGCCTCTGGTGAATCCTCTCACACTGTACTCACCTCCCAACCATCCCCCACCCCCACAGCTCTGCCCTACACCCAGTTCTTCTATGCAAAAACAAATTAGTCTTTGTTTTTTAAAAGGAAAGATGTGAAAAATAAATTTATATTTATTTATAGGTAGATGATTGATGCACTGAGCATATCCAAATTTTTTTCTGACATGTATTTTTTTTAAAGATTTATTTATTATGGCCTGCAGAGCTGGGGTACAGGTCAGAGGAGCAGAGGTGGTGAGAGGATTCACCAGAGACAGAGTGGGGGTCAGGACAGGCAGATTGATGAAGTACACTGCTGAGGGGAGCAGCGGGTGGGTCAGGAGAAGTCTGCTGTGCCATGTGGGTCACCTCCCTAGCCAGGAATTGAATTTGCTGACGTGGCTGCGGCTAGCTTCAAAGTGCTGTGCTTTAACTTGCGCTACCCGGAAGGGCCCCCAACATATGTGTAACAGGGTGGTCCCCAGGAAATGGGGAAGTTCCAGGTTCCCTGCCTCCCAGAAGTAGGGTGGAGCTGAGCAGAGAAAAGAAGAGAAGGAATCTGAGGAGGAATGAAGCAGGATGGAGAGCCAGAAGGAGACCTGAGGAAGCCACATGGAGCAGCAAGCATGTGAGGAAGAAACCATGCTTGTTTCTTGACCCTGGAGTGGTTAAGGCAGATGTGGTGAGATACCTGTAGGGAGGTGACTGTGGCAGTGTTTATATTAATTTTCATTTTGTTCTTTTCTTCCCAGACTTGTCTGGCCATTTTTGACCCTTTTCTATGGGTCCTGGCCAGAAGGTGCTTTAGTCTTGTGGTGGGCTTTTAGGCCTTGCTTTGGGGCCAATCCCTTTTGGGTTGACTTTTGTCCACAAGGGGATGGGTAATTTTAGGTGTTTGATTTATAAGTTGTATTTTTTGTCTTCTGTATTGTAAACTCACTGCATTAAAGTCCCTTTTCATTAAAGCTTTATATGTTTTGTCTTGATGCGGTGGATAGCAGAACCTATTTAGAGCAAGCAGGTTTGGGGGTTCAGTGGTGCCCCTCTCTCCCTGCCTTGTAACATATGTTTTGAGGAAAACCAGCATAGGAGTGATCCTTACAGTTCAAACCCATGCTGTTCACAAATCATAAAGTGATTAGCTCATGAAAACAGCTAATTCAGAAAAGACCCTATTCTAGTAAGTTGTAGATAGAAAGTGGACATCAGCCCTGTATTAAAACTTATTTCTAACATTTCCCTCCCCAAAACCTAATTATGTGATCTTTCACCCAAATAGAACCTTCTTTCAAACAGCATAACTTAAAATACTAGCATTAAATAGTAGCCTGTAATTTAAAACAAATTGTAGAAAGTGCATATATTTGGTGACATTGTACTTTTTGTATTTTGAGTCTATGAAACATTTTAAAATGTTTAATTTTTTTTGCAGTGGAGGTTTAGTTGATCAAAAGTCTTTTTAAAGAGTTCTGGAGACCATTCTAAAGGAATATGGTTCAAGTGCACTGGTAAATTTCCATGTTTTCCTTAATCATTTATCTCCAGCCCAACCTAAGTCATTTCTGTTTAAATAGGTCTGAATGGTCAAAGCTAAGCCAATTCTATTATGAACAGCAAGAAAAATCACATTTAATCTAACAGATGTTATAGAAATTTAAATCTGTGAGACTCTTTAGCAGAATTAATACTCTAGTATTGCAGAATTATAAAAGGATCAATGTTCCATACATTCTGGAAATAAAAATACCACAGTTCCAACATTATTTTAAAACACTACTGTTCAAGAGTCAACTACAGTTTGATTGTTTTACTACAGATTCTCCTTCAAATTGTCTAATCATCTATGTGCCTAAAGATTTTTTTAATGTCTGCTGGGCATTGTATTTGCAACACTGGAGAAGCAATTTGAAGCTTTAAAGTTATCCTCTATCTAGAAGTGCCGAAGGGCACTAGCAACAGGGATTACCTTCATCCAATTCAGGGACTAAATTGGATTAAACTCAGTCTCATACAAAATATAAAACTCAATCCAGTTTCCTTGGTGAGGAGCTACTTTCAGGTTTGCCTTAACTAGATTAAAGCCTGCAGGCTTTCAATCCAAAACCAGACAGAGTTCAGCCACCTCCCTTAGCCAGAACAAGCCATAGAGAATGCTAAATGGTTTTAGGAGAGATGGAAACAAATAAATGTCCTAAATAAACTGATTCGGTGCATTTTAAGTCAATATCCCTGAAATATCATTAAATCATTTAAAACATTTATAAGTGAGCTCTGGCTACAGACAATGTACTGACATCTGAATTGATGACAGCACAAGAAAATGATATAATGCTACAGTTAATTGGAACACTCCCGCCTGAGAAGGCTCTGGAGCCAATTTGCCTTTGAACTTTGACCTCACTGTCTGCTCTCTCTGCTTAGGTTGTCCTCCCACGTAGTTCCACACGATCGCTGCCTCATAGCCTTCAAGACTGCGTACAATCACTTCCACCTTAATACACCATGGCTTGGTGAGTTTTTAAAAATTTATTTATTTATACAGATAAGAACTGAGGTACAGCCCAGAGGTACGGTGGTGAGGGGTGATGAGGAAGGTGATAGTGAGAGGATTCAGCAGAGACAGAGTGAGGAGTGAACAGGCAGATTGAAATTCACTGCTGAGGCAGCAGGTGAGAGGTCTACTGCATCCTGTGGGTCAGCTCCCTGGCTAGGGATCAACCTGTTGTGCAGTGGCTGCAGATTGCTTCATAGTGCTGTGCTTTAATTTCTTGCACCATCAGGGAGGACCTGGATGACATGTTTTGTTTTGTTTTGTTTAATTTTGAAGACCTATTTTAAGGGAATCTGACTTAGCCCTTGCACTTGAAGATTTCTTCTCTCCTTCTTGGCCAGAGATCTCTGCTGTCACCTGCCAGCTCGCTCCTCAAGTCAGGCCAAGGAGCATCTGAGCTTGGGTCTCTTTGTTTAGACTGAATCCCGAGATACTGGGGTGGTACTGTGTGTCATGTATCTGAATTTATCAATTCAGATGTCAGTTGACATGAAGAGTAACCCAGAACCCAGGATCAAACTGGGTCCCATTGTTACAGGGCAGGGAGAGGGGTCACCACTGAACCCCCAAACCTGCCTGATCCAAATAGATTCTTCCATCTGCCACATCAAGGCAAAACAGATAAGACTTTAATGAAAAGGATCTTTAATACAGTGAGTTTACAATACAGAAGACAAAGAATATAATTTCTAGATCAAACACCTGAAGTGACCCATTCCCTCATGGGATTGACCCAAAGCAAGGCCTGAAAGCTGCCACAAGACTAAAGCACCTTCTGGCCAGGACCCACAGAAAAAGGTCAGACAAATCTGGGAGGAAAATAGCAAAATGAAAATTAATATAAACACCACCCTATAGGTATCTCACCCACATCTGCCTTAACCAGTCCAGGGCCAGAAAACAAGCATAGTTTCTTCATCACATGCTTGCTGCTCCATGTGGCTTCCTCAGGTCTCCTTCTGGCTCTCCATCCTGCTTCCTTCTTCTCTTGATTCCTTCTCTTCTCTCTCTCTCTCTCTTTTTTTTTTTTTCTCCCCAGCTCCACCCTACCTCTGGGTAGGGCAGGGAACCTTCAACTTCCCCTTTTCCTAAGGACCACCCTGTTACACCATGAGCTACATAAGTTCTACTGAGTGAATAGAGATGACAGCAAACTAAAGGAAGAAGGTCCAGTCTCCTAAGGAAAATATTTCACAATAAAGCTGCTTAGGATGATGTCTTCCAGAAGCCATCGAAACAATCTTCCACTTAACCAGGAAATACTTTCCCTCTAAATGCATCAGGGGATTGCACTGACTAATATCTTAAATTCAAAAAAGAGGGGGGGTGCATGTCTCTCCCACCCTTGCTTCACCTCATCATGCTCAGCTATTTTTTCATGTACTACTTACATTCTACTATGTTGTTTGACTTACTTATCTATCATGCTTACACTTCCTGCAGTTTCTCCTGCAGAAATGCCAAAAAAAGGCAGGGATCCTTGTTTGGTCCACTGATGTAACCCTGTCTGGAGAACTGTATCTCAACTGAAACAGATTGAATGAATAAATGAAGGTAAGATAGAGACTTTCATGGATACAAAGGAAGCCTATTAGAGATCTTATTCTCACCTCTACCCCAAAGTCTACCAAACTTTTCCCTCTCTGTCTGGAAAGGAATTCTGATCAATCCATTTTCCTACTTCAGTGCTTTCTCAGCAGTCTTTTAGATTTGGAGTAGTTCCTGGGTCCTGCCAGCCTGTTCACCCTTAATCTGGTTCTGTACCTCACTAAAGAATGGTCTCCTCAGAGATTCTTGAAAGATTTCAAAACTGATGCCACACCCTGCATCCATCCCCACATGGTTAGAAATGATTCCCTCCTGAAATATTAGCTACTCTGGATAATAGACATTTTTCTCGGATTCCTAATTGGCAGTCTTCTCTGAAAAATTACTCAATTCTCTTTTTGGATATCCCCTCAAGTTAATCTCTTTCAGAAAATTTAAGGTTGGTTGTTGTTTAATTAAATGGGAATAATATTATCCTTTCCCCTTTCAGGGTCCTGCAAAGTTCTCACACTAGATCTAACCAGATGGAGAGCCTTTTGTACACAATGATCTTCAGGAACATTAGCAGCCAATACTGCAAATATCACAATTGAACTAATTTCCTCTGTTCCCCCTAAACCATGAAAATTTATGCCATGCCTGCAAAACAGAAAATCTAAGCTTAGATTTTTCTTTTTGCCTTTGATTACTTTTTACTTCCTACTCATCTTAACCCTGTAATCTGGCCAGATTAGAAGGGGGTAAGGAAAATATGGAACTGAAATAATTGTAAGAAGAACACAAAGATTATTAGGTATTTGGTGCAGATGGTGGTGATGAGGTGCTCTTCTGCAATATAAAGGAAAGGCCTCATGGTTAATATAATGCCCAAGTCCACCGTCAGTAACGGGGTCTTCTCACTGGCTGGGTCATTCCTGGACCCTAAGGGGAACATAGCTCCCATGATATTCTTACTCTGCCGAAGACCACATGCTTCCATCCAACTCCTCTCTTGGCAGTGCCAGTGGAAAACCAGGAACCACTGTATTAGGGCCAGCACTTGTCAAGACAAAACTCCAGGAAATGTATACTTCAGGATGAAATTCTCATCCTCAGTGTCTCCCCATAGGTAGACTTTCTGCCAAAGCCATTATGGCTTGTGGACCACCACTTTGGTCCTTAAACACTGGAATGAGTCTGTGAAAACAGGAACCTGTATAACCAATCCTTTCTATCCAATGCCCAGAGTCCAGCTGTTGTCTGCTGTCTTGGAACTTGGTCTCACCTGGTTTAATTACACCTAGGGTTCTCTGGTGAATTCTTTCCCTAGAGGGCAAGGACCCACTTTTGGGTTGGGGGCCTCTAACATTTTGTCACATTAGTGAAAAAAAACCTGTGAAAACAGCTCTTTCTCCCTCTGGATTTGTCAAGGTAATGCAGCAGTGATAATAATGGAAAAGTGGATACCTACAACAGTATAAGGCTACAGGGTTAGGGTTATCATGAAGAATATGTGAAATTTATAAAATGATAAGAGTGAAGAGCTGGAGTAAAGCACGATCAAGTAGTCATTGAAGGAAATCTTTGAAATATTTCTCTTGCCAAAGACACTACCAGTTTTTGGGTTTTTTTTTTAATTTTTTTAGAGATTTATTTATTTGTTCATACAGAACTGGGGTACAGGCCAGAGGCTCAGGGGCGGCAAGAGGTTCACCAGAGACAGAGTGGGGAGCAGAACAGGCAGATCGACGAAGTACACTGCTGAGGGGAGCAGCGGGCGGGTCAGGAGAGGTCTGCCGCGCCATGTGGTCACCTCCAGGGGCAGGCGGGGATCGAACTCATGAGGAAGTGGCTTTAGCTTCTCAGTGCTGTGCTTTAACCCGCTGCGCCACCAGGGAGGGCCACTACCAGTTTTTTAAGTGAGTCTTTTCATTGTCATTTCTGTTTTCCACTAAAAGTTAAAGAGATTAAGTATTTCATAATGAATGCCAACTGAAGCAGAAACTTAAAACACATTATAGGCATATACATGAAACTTGGGGTTCCATTAATATATCAGCTTCCCATGCTGCTTTGAACTCAGATAATCCTCTGTTGCAATTTCTCTACTCCCTAGCCAGACAGCTAATTTTATAGGAATAGAATGCAAAATTTGGAAGTGAAGCAGAATCACTTGCAAGCACATCTTCTTTGTGAACTGGAAAGTGAAAATAAGGCAAGATGAAACCAGTACGAAGAGAGTGGAGTGATTCCTCTTCTCTTTTCTAGTCCAGTAGTAATTTAGGATTATGGGTGCCAGGAGTCAGAGAACAACCCAGTTGTTGGGCAGAGGAGCCAATCATGGCAAAGGAAGACTGGGTTTTACTCCAGGTTCTGTCCCTGGCCAGACAGGCTACACTGTAGGACGCCGGTGTGGTGAAGCAGGAGCTGTACAGCTGCTAGCAGAGGAGTCATGACTACCTGCACTATCTCAATAAAGCCTCTCAAGAGCCCACTATCAGTTTTTATTCTTAGTCCATAGATAAGGAATAAGTTCTGGTTAAATGGCCAAAAGTCTTGAGCTTTGAAAACCCGCCCCCTTTACCACTCACTAGCTGGGTGACCTTCAGTAAGTGACATAACGCCCTTGACCTCCCTTGTAAGTCATTTAACTTTCACTTGTAACATGGGAATAATTTTAAATTAGGACGTAACATGTGTTAAACATTGTTGAATGCCAGGACTGTCCAAATGGATATTATTATGAACTCACTTAGATTTCTACAATGACTCTATGTGCCAAGCAAATTATGATCCCCATGTAACAGAGAGGAAACTGAGAGGTTGTGTAACTTGCCCGGGTTTACACAGATAGCAGATAGGTAGCCACAACTACAATGCAAGGATAAGAATGCTTAGCTGGCTCTCAGCATACACAGTCTATTATGATAACACACGTACATGTAAAAATATGACAAAGGTAGCGTAAGAGTGGGAAGGGATGTCAGTGGAACTAAACTGTGAGAAGGTCTTTAGACAAACTAGTGTAGCAATAGTCTACTTATGGTAGACCATTACAAATTAAGGATGTTATTATAATTCCTGGAACAAAAATAAATTACATAAGTATGTCTGGGTCTCCCTGGTATGCAGGTTAAAGTCTCAGCACTATCAAGCTATCATAGCCACTGTGACATAAATTCAACCCCAGCCAGGGAGCTGACCCACATGGAGCAGCAGACCTCTCCTGTCTCCCCGCTGCTCCCTCAGCAGTGCATTTAGTACAGCTGCCTGTTCTGCTCCCCACTCTGTCTCTGGTGAATCCTCTCATACCCCTGTACCTCTGCCCTGTATCTCAGCTCTTGGATGCATAAAGAAAAATAAATCTTAAAATTTATTTAAGATTTTAATAGAGCCTCAAAATATACCAAGCAAAACCAGATAGAACTAAAA